ACAAACAACTTTAAAGTGAGCAGATAAACAACCCCTCTGAAAGGCCACCTGCTTTATTCCTCAGTATTTCTCTGCTCATCCCTGCAGCTCTCCGAGATCAGGACGACGCCTTTTGTTTCCAGTGGACTTTTTTTTGGATCAGCCCCTGAATATTTCTCATGCTTTCTTCTAGTTGACCTGAAGAGAATTCCACTGTTACACTTTCTTCCAAGCATATTAGGATGGGGCCAGAAAGCAATATTTAAATCTTAATCTGGCTTCAGATTTACGCTGCACAGAGCTCGCTGGGGTTGGTGCTGCAGGATGGGGTTACTGCCTTTAGTAAACCGGGAATAGCAGAAATCCCGACAAGCTAAGCAAAGCAGTCATTCCACATACAATTGTCGGTAGCACATACAGTAGTTTCCAGATCTTTGAAAAAAATTAATAACTTTTTTCCCCCCCAGTTCCTGGCAGCCACCATAGTTCAGTTTCACAGGATATCCAAAACGAGACCAAACCGCTTCCTTTCCAAGGGATTCCTGAATGGATAGGCACGTTGGAAAAAGTGCCTCTTACTCCTCTAATCACAGCCAGGACGTCCAGCTCATTTCCYGGGGTAACATTTAAAGCCAGGTCTCCCCAAACCCTCGCGGTGGCTCTGCCGGGACCGCCTTTCCCTGCGGAGCCAGGCGGCATCGTGCAGCGGCCCCTCGCACCCAAGGAGCGGGAGAAGCCCCTTCCCCTCTTCCCTGATAACCCCCATTCACAGCRTGACCCCAGGCTCCGGGATATTGTTCCAGCGCTGCCATTCCCCCTGTCTCAGGCAACACTCGGCCGCTGGAAGTTTCCTGTTTCCTTTCAGGCCCGTTCGCTTCCCTACTATCCCAGCCAGCAGCCAAGCAAGTCGTTTCAGTGAGAAAAAATCCRTTTTTCTCTCCGTGGACTGCTGCTATTTTGCATTTTTGCCTTTCAGGCTCTCAGTCCAAGTAACTGCGTGTGATTTCCGACAGTAACTCAGGAATCATACAAATAACTGCCCCCTCATGTGAATGCTGTTTCCACTGTGTTTTCTCCTATTAAAACTTTGCCCACTTGGATTTTCCTTCCTTTCCTATCAGAGGGAGAAATCTGCTYGGAGAATAAACCTGGTGCCTGAACGTCAACATGGGATCTGCACAGCAAGATAACACCCCTGCAGAAAGGCCTGGCTTGCACATTCTGCAAAAGAGCACGATGATTTACTGAAATAAATTGAACTCAAATTTAATATTACTATTTATATTACATGACTGTTCATACAGGTATCTGCCTATCTAGGGTTTTTTTCACTGCCCTCCTCTAGGACGATTAGCAAAGTTATTTCTGCAGGGATCCATTCAAAGGGACAACCGCTTTAAAAGCTTTGCAAGGAACAGTAGCTATATGTTAGTAGGTCATCGGATCCCAATGGATTTTATGAATACCATAATGAATTTCAGCCCAACATCTGTCTACTCTCTGAAACAGATGCAACTCTGGGAAGAAAAAAATAGCTGCTGCCTCTTCTCAGGCAGATTTCTCAGTAATAAAATCCAAATATAAAGCAAACTGACGCAGCACAGTTTCACTGCTACCACGTTACACTTATCAGTCAAAACATTGTGGGGCACACTACCAATTTCTGCTGTGAATTCCAGACAACTTGTGGTATCTTCTCTGCCCGACAGAGGTTTTTCGACTTTAGAGAAGGGAAAGAAAATAAATAGGGAGGCTTTTGCCAGCCAAAAGCTACCCTGGGATGACTCAGATCAGAGTTCCTTTTTGTCTAAACCGCTAAGTTTGATGGTTAGCCAAGGAGGAACTTAAATCTGAACTACCCATGGTTTGGGGAAAACACAAGATAAGTATCATTTTAATTTTGAAAAGGACACCAGGCTTTGGGTTTGTGCCCTCTCCTCCAAAAGAGGAATTCCAGTGCGGGGATGATCTCCATACTTCAAAAAACAGGACAAAGCTTCTTTAAGAGAGAGTCACATGCCAGTCTGGGTACATTCTCAGTAAATTAAACAGATTTGCTCAGTTCTGTTGCAAGTCTAACCTGTGCCTCACAAGATTACACAATTTCGAGCTTGCAAGAAGCCTGCTTTGTTGCTTAAGTCGCACTTACATAGCTGCGCTTCCTTTCTTACTTCTCCTTTTCTTAGTGCAGAAATATGTAAAAGAGGAAAAGAGGAACTGCAGCTCATGAACCCTCCTTCTGCCCTTGGAACAAAAACTGGCCTCTGTGACCTATTAACCAGCTTCAGGAAAGTCTCCTCTGCCCACTCCCATTTCTGTTCAGTTCCAGGCTGTTTTACGCTGTTTTTCATCTCAGTACTTTGTCAGCTTTGAACAYTTCAAACACGTTTGGATGCTCTAGTGCAGCACCTGAGCCTTTTAAACCCTCTTTTCCTCAGGGGAACCACTGCTCTCTCTTTGGGGTGTTGCCTACTGCTTTTTGGGGGGTTTTGAGGGGAGAGGCAGTTTTTTAAGTGCTAGATGGGAAAGTCAAAGGGAATCTTGCTTGAGCCATGAGCAACAGCATCTTCTTCCAATACTAACTCATAAATATGTCCATTCCTTTTCCTGCACAGCCTTGCCAGCCCTATCTAAACATTCCCTATCTTGTATATTTATAGCCAGCATAATCACTTCCAGCCAAGTCTCCAATAAGTCCGTATCAGCCTGCTCTGCCTGCTGATGGCCAGGATGGCTCCTAAGGGCTGCCAGGATTTTCCCTGCACATCCAGTTTCACGTTCTACGGGAAAGCAGGGGTAGCTGCATCCACCTCGGTGCTGCCACTGGGAGCAGAGACTGCAAAGGGTTTAAAAATTAAATCAAAGTTGTTTGGTGGCTTAGGAGGGACTGGAAGCCTCTGTGCACCATGTCGCAGTCACAGCTGTTTAGCCATGGAAGTTCAGTGGGTAGGGAACGAGCAGGCACATAACCCGGATCCTGGAAGCAGCGCTGATCTAACAGCAGCATGTGCTGCTACGTGCGCCCTGCGGTGCCACGCAGGGGCTGTGACACGGACCCCTTCCCACACCAGCACCGTGGACACCCCTGCCCCAGCAGAGAGGGCCAGGGAAGGGGCTGCAGTTCTCATGTAGCTCCGGAGAGATGGACCCCAGAGCAGCAGCTCCACACATCACCTAAAACATGCCCTGAATTTGGATTCAGCACAAAGAAGTTGTACAAAAACTAAAAACTTYGGGTCAAAGCATCCTACTGTACCCGTTTTGAAGAGCTGAAGCTCTTACCTTATTAAGAGAGAGGTGACTATATATTTTCTCCTAAGGAGAAAATAGCAGGCACTTGAATCACAAGAGAGATAATGAGAACCAGCAGCTGAAGCAGAAACTAGACAGCTAGACAGGAGAGGAGGGAAAAAAAGAAGTAGAAATAAAGGTCCCGCGCTGGAACTGGAACAGCCTGGTTGGTGTCCATGTCTCACAGGGGCTCAGATCAGCCTCGGCAGCCCCTCACCGACACCGGCCCAAATCAGGGGTGGACGAGAGGTGCTGCRCGAGCCCAGCACCGCGCGCCGGCACCCCGGTTAAACCGTTCCCTCCGGAGGCTCCCGCTTGCTCTGGGGCCGAGGCTCAGCAGAGCCCCAACRGGCTCCCTGTTGCCTATCCAGGCTTAGGCTTCCAGCAGGGAGCACGGGGCATTTAAGCTAGCTTCCCTTTCCACAGCAGCTCAAGCGCTTTGAGGAGTTCAGCTCCATAACCCAATTAAGCGCCGTAACTCCGGGAGCCCTTGTACCTTTGTCGAGCGGTTTGCACGTTCGTGCTGCGTTACTGAGCAAGAACTGATTTCACACAGCCCAGCACTTTACCGCGTCACAGGCTGAGCCATCCCAGGCGGAACCAGCAAGTCCAGAGTCCCGCCAAAGCCGATCCGGATGTGCCGCTCCCACGGCCTTGCTCCTGCGAGCTGCTTCTTGAAAGCTTGGGAAAAGCCAGTTTCACTTTTATTCCTTCCCTTCCCGGAAGCCTCAGCTTTTATAGGTTATAGYGCAATGGATGGACCTTGGCCCATGAGCTCACAAATCCCATGCCCTGAGAGGGAAAACAGACGGCCCCTGTCCTCCCTCATCCACAGGCCATGGTGGGGCAGGAAGACACAGCCGCATGTCCAGGGTCCCATCAGAGCCAGCAGCGCTGCTGGATATGGAAAAAGCACCACTTGAGTCTCAGCCCAGGGCCCTAGCTGCCCTTATGGTCTTTTCCCCTTTCATTCACTTTAAAAGATGGAAAACGTTAACACAGTCATCTGATATTTGACTACGAAAGCTTACAGCCAAGCCTTGCAAGCAGGGGTAGTTCTTGCTTTCAAGCAAACAAATCAGCAGGATCTTGAAAGCCAGAAAGCCACATCATAAGATTTTCTGCAGATCTGTCACYAGGCCTCTTGGCTTCCTCTAGGACATATCTCACATCACTTTATGCAACATATATTTAAGAAAGTTACTGCAGACTCTTCCAAATGCTGTAACTGTCACTGTCCTGGACACTCTGGCAATTAATAAGCCTACATCATAACAGAGTGCTAAGAGACACAGTTTTAAGCTTCCRATCAGGAAAATTAACATGCCTCGATAGCAGGACAAGTCAATAAACTGTTGTGGATTAACTTGCAGCAACCACAGAAGCTTCTCTCTAATTAAAAACCTCCACCAGCTGCCCAGACTTTTTTCAGGGAATGCAGCATCATTTTGGAGCAATAAGACACAGTTGCCTGCGTACTCGAGGTCAGGCACATGCCTGTGCCTGGAAAGGAGGAGGGACATCAGTATTATGGGAAGGGCAGCCTTGCTCCCTTAGCTGAGCAGCATTGGCCATGGCCGGGCTACCAGGTCAACATCTTTGCTGCTTCTCAAAGAGCAGCAGACCCATGTTCAAATGGGGATCACTGTTCCATCTAMCAGCCTCAGAAACTGCCACCACAGCCTGCTCTGCTGTCACCACCCCAGCAGGTGCCCCCTGCCCTGGCTCACCTATGGGGTGACTCCTTTGCAGCACTGGCTCTTGCTCCAATAGCGCTTCCAGTACAGGAGRAGCATCTGCCCTCCTAGTTGCAGAGGAAACATCAATGCCACCAGCCTAAACCATGAAGGGCTAAAAGAGACAACCCCTGATGAGTCTCAGGTGAGGCCAGGCAGTGACCATGGGGGAAAAAGCTGCCCCCAGAGCCTCAGGTGGGGCTGGTAGAGCAGATAGTGCAGGTGTGGTGGCCTTCCCTAGACTCCTACCTGTACTGTGGTGGACTTGCTGGGTTTAGCTTCTTCTCTACGCACCTTCCTCACAGGRGACATGGGAATGTCTCCAGGCTCCATCCTGCTTCCTCCAGAGTACCCTGATCCCTGGGATTCACGGCCTTGTCCCCAGCTCTGAGGAGGGGRCAATCCTCCTTGCCAGGCCCATCCCACTCCATCCGCCCACATTCCYGTTCCGTCCCTTCTCCATCTGCCCCTGCCAGCCTGCAATGGGACACGTGGGCAGCAGTTCCGTGCTCCTGGACAACCCTGCACACACCTCCTTGCAGCGGTGCGTGTTACACGTCTGGCTCTGCAGCACCAAGAGCACTTCCAACTTTTTTCCTAGGGTTGTGCTCATTTTTGAGTAAATAAAGAAAAAATCCATGAAAGCTGTTTGGTAAACTACAATATTCAAAGCTTTCCTTCTTTTTTCCTGGACCAAGGCTACCCACAAAAATGGATTGTTTTTTTTCTCCTGTCCAGACATGTCTTCCTGCTCAGCCAGATAATAATTTGCTTCACTTTTGTGTGGGTGTATGGGCTTGTGTTTTCCCTTGACATTTGTGTGAGCAATACAGCGAAAGCYTGGGTTTTGTATGTTCCCTATTTGCTTTTGGGCTTCTTTTGAGGAGTCTCCTGTCCTGAKGTTAGCTATGTTTTTTCAGTCATATTTAATCCCTTTTGTGACCACCTCTCCTTTTCTGATGCATGTGCTGCCATTAAATAACCTAATTTCCCCATCACAACTGCTGAGAGGATCATCATTTATCCCATTTTTTTGTCTTTGCTGTGTCCCTTTGTATAGTTATTCTTCATCTAGATTGGGAGGGCCTGCTAGTCCTTTCATGAMTCTTATTTTTTCCACATGTCCAACAACTGAGAATAAGAAAGTTTGCAAGGATGATCCTTACTTGGCCAGCATTTCTAGCGCATTCTTCTTTTTAACCTTTTGAGAGCATTTTCTGTGGTTTTATCCCACTAATTTATTAGAAATGAAACCAGAGGCAATAGGGAAGGACAAGCAGGAGGCTGAGCCCTGGGGTTACTGTGCTCTGGGCTGTGCTGGGGGCTGTCACTGAGACGTGTGTAYGGAAAAAGGTGACTGGATTTCAGTCAAGTTGTGACCCAACTGCAGTGGGCTCAAGGAGGAGGCTCCTTGTGGACAATGTGCTGCACCTCCAGTCTCTGATAGTACAGAGTGGGCTTGGTTTGGGATTTCAGCTCACTTAAAATTGCTGAAATATTTGATGTTGTACCTATATAAAATTGGGGTACTACTAAAGGTGTCAAACTAAAAATATGACTAGTGACTCCCCTCAGCATTCAAAGGAATCACRAAGTCTCTCAAACCACATCACACTAATAGGCATAATTACAAATACACCAACCCCCTTTCTCCCAGGTATCCTCTGTCCTTTGCAGAAGCCATTGGATCACCTGAAACAAAATGCTCCATGTTACTACAATCTTCCTTTCAAGCTCCCCAGGTTAATAGGGCAAATTCTGCTTTAGAGAAATCAGGTCAGAACCCTAGTGCCTACATTGACTTACCTCTGGCTTCACCATGGTGAATTTACAGCAGTTCCATTATTAAATTCAGCTGTCCCCTGTTCTGGCAAATTACCGCTCCCCTCCCAAAAGAGGCATCTCAGCTGGAAACCTTTATTCCATCATCTCAGCCCCTGCCTTCCCCCTCCAACTTAGCAGGCTGTGATTTCCTGTGGGGAGGCAGAGCTTGGGTGTGTGGTGCTGTGACATTGCTCTGGATAACGTCATCAAGGCTACGTGTGGCACCTGAGCACCTTTACCTCCCYGCACGTACCTGAAATCTTTCACCGTGTCCTGACTGCCTGCTCAGGGGTTAGTCACTTCCTCCACGGCCTGTAGGGAGAGAGTAATGGTAAAGAAATGTTGCTGTACGCTAGCAAGTCTGTTTGTGGAGGCTCGCTGCTCACACACGTGCCTAATTAATATGACTCCAGAGGAAAACTTCCCAGGCTGCTTGCTAGAGTCTGATCTTTGGGGTCATTAGACTTTTCATCTGGTTGCTTGGGGGGGGGGTTAGTCAGGCTTAAGCTCCTGAAATAACCAAGTACCGTATAGTGTAATTTCTAATTGCTGCAGTGAGCTCCGCTACCCCAGCCTGCACTGCTGGCTGCCTGCAGCAGCCTGTGCCACGCAGCAAATGAGTTGTGCAGCACGAGGCACAAGGCGAGCACAGAACCTGCAGCAAAATCACGTCACCTCCGTGAGGGCAGCCTGGGCACGGGGCAAACCCGGCAATGGAGACCAGCCCAGGGCGCTGGAGGGCACCGAGGGGCTTTGGCTCTGGCGGTGCTGGCCCGGGCACAGCCGGGAAATAGTTTGTCTTGTTTTGATGTGGCAGCTCTGTGATCAGCACTGAATTTCCCGTGGGGCTGATGGCTCTTGAGCCCCCCATGCCCTGGATGGATGGCTGATGCTCAGAGGTGTCCCCGTGCGCCCCATCAGCAACCCTGTGTGGACGTGCTGCTGCAGCCACCTCATCTCTCCGCTTTCTGCCTCCTCTTCTAGCAGCTGCCTGCACAAATCACTCCTGTTCTCTCAGGCTCTTCCTTCCCCGTCCTCCTAATTTGTACTTTACAGTCTTCCTGTAAAAATAACAAGAATCAGGCTTCTAAAACGAAGAAGTTTCTCTGAGGAGCTTCTGTGCTTTTGCTATAATCACTCCACATGCTCCTCTGACAATTCCCGTGACCTTATTTCTCCAAAAAAAGTCAAACAAAAGAGAAAAAAGCGGAAAAAAAAAGAGACAACTCCCATCATCCTTCAAGTCTCTGTAGAGCTCTTCACATGCTGAAGGAGCAGCCTGAGCTGCCAGCTCTGTATCTGGAGCTCTTCTCAATACATGTTTGTTAACCCTCTGGGTACAATGGATGCCGAGAATTATTCTTTCGTAACGTTTGTTTGGCTGCCAGAAAGGAAAATGATGAGCAGCTCAGAGGTTACGTGTGCTGGGCTTTGCAAGAGGAGCCTCGGTGGGGCTGCTGCTGCTCTGCTGGCGGTGGGAGCTGAGGGGGTACCCGCTGACAAGTCCCTGTCTGCTAATAGCAGTGCTAGTCCGGCGTCCTCTCCAAGGACCTCAGTCTTATAAAGGCATGTAAGATGATGGGCTTAGCGCAGCACAGTCACCACTTAAAGAAATGGATTGAAAACAGACTGCTACATTAATTCCTGCTGTTGTTTCCATTAGCATCTTCTTCCAACTGGTAGTTTCTYACCGCAGCACAACCTTTTGGGTAGGATTCAACTCGGTTTGGGCCCTCAGGAATCGGGCACCTCAGTTTCGGAGCCCTCACGTAGCTGTCGCAGCAGATCTGCCCCGTACCCCTGGCACCCCTTGGACACAGAGTCCCCAGGCTGGTGCCCACCATGACCAGTAAGGTGTCCACGATGGCATCATGCGTAAGGGGCRAGTCTGCCAAGGACAAAGGTGGGCCACCAAGTGCATCACCAGTCAGCTGTCCCTCTCCAGGAGAGTGCACCACCAGTCACCTCTCCCTTTCATTCCGCAATGAGCTGCCGGCTCTGCATTCCCGAGGCGCCGGCGGAGCGGTGCGGGCACCCGGGTGGCCACGTTGCAAGAGGAGCTGGCTCAGAGGGGTGGCCGAGGGCTCTGTGCCCACCTCGCAGCTCTCCTGGGCACCTGGCACTGCCGCAGCACCGATGCCGTCTCYGCTCGTTACGCTGATGGGGTTAGCAGTGAAGTCTGAACTTCGCTCAGCTTTCCCCACAGTTTGGCAGTTGAAGAGCCCAGCTCTGATCCGGGTTCAGGCTGGTTGTTAGGTTTAAATGATCCTCCCATCCAATTTTTTTCCCCACTGTCTCCTTTTGCTACTACTTGCCCAGCAGTAGCAAGAACTTGCTGGGCCGGTCTATCTGGAGTTATTGATCCCTTAGCAGAAACGTCGGTTTATCAAGCATCTGCAAAACTGATTTCTCACAACCTGTTTTCTCATGACTCATGGTTCTACCCACAAGCCCAAACCCTCCGTTTTGTGCCAATTCCCACCAGGATTCCTCCCAGAGGGACAACCTGCTGGGACACTGCTGGTCTGGGAGAGCAGGGGGCGGCCCCAGCTCCACCCGGGATTTTTGGCAGGATCTGGAGCAAACTGGACCCTGTTTTCTACTTGCTAAAATGAGGATGAAAACATTTCTCTAGCCCACCGAGGTGTTAGATTAATTGTTTCATGATCACAAGGCTTTTGATATCCTTTAATCAAAGAACTGTTTGGGATTTTAAAAGCTGTTATTATTTGTGGAAGAGATGTTAGATCTCTGTGCAGAGCCTAAGCAGAATACAGACTCTGTTCCCCTTTCATGTTTTTGGGGGATTATGTATTAAATGCTCCCTTTTGGGTGCCAGCAGAAGTTACCTTTAAGCCATATATACATGCTGATTAGAATAYACACTGCTTTAAAAGCTTCTTCACATCTCATTACACCTCTTCTTGAGTCTTCTCAAAAGAGACTAATTTACATTAAGTCTAGGCCACATCAGGGTCTGGATTTCTCATGAAAATACGCCTTGGTAGTAAAAGCAAAGCCCCTTATGTTCCCTGCATGAGAATCAAGACGTTCTCCTCCACAGCATAAATCCCAAGGCCGTGCTCTGAATCCCAAATAGTTTGGATTTATACAGGAACGAGCAGCACGATTCTTCCTGTGACAATTTTCATTTCTACCCGGCTTTGCCTGTGTTTCTCCCATAGAAAAGGGCACAGGACACTTCACAAATCATGAGGCTCCACCGTCCACACGGCTCTCGGTCCCTTCACGTCAAGGAGGGTYATTATTTATTTCTTCTGCCGCTTGGTCTGTAGCCGTGCAGTGACACCGCAACACAGTGCAAGTGCTGACGGGTCGCGATCCGCTCCTGCTGKTTTGTATGTAAATGACAAACATCCTGGCAGGGATTCATAACTGTCACCTTATATTTCTTTTAGTTTTAGACGTTGTTTTAGTTTTCTTTGCAGTCTCCTCATTAGCCTCTGTTCTGAATATCTCCAGTGACTATTTGGAGGAAACAAGGCAGGAACCAAGCCGGACACGGATGCAGCCGAGATGCCCTCCGAGGCACCGGGGCCGGGCACCAGCGCACAGGCACCCGCGGGCACCAGAGCCGCCCAGCTCGCCTGGCGCCCCAGCAACGGCAGTGACTCCGATACTCGGCAGTGACTCCGATACTCGGCAGTGACTCCGATACTCGGCTCTTACTCTGTTACTCAGCAGTGACTCTGTTACTCAGCAGTTGCTCCGACACTCGGCAGTAACTCCGTTAGTCGGCTGTTACTCTGTTACTCAGCAGTGACTCCATTACTCGGCAGTGATTCTGTTACTCGACAGTTGCTCCGTTACTCGGCAGTGACTCCGTTACTCGGCTGTTACTCAGTTATTCGGCAGCTGCTCCGTTACTCAGCAGTTACTCKCTTACTCGGCAGTTGCCCCGTTACTCGGTAGTTACTCCATTAATCGGCCATGACTCCGTTACTCGGCAGTTACGCTCCGGCATCGCGGAGCTCCCATCCCGCAGCAGCAGCAGGAAGCACGAGCTGCTACTCGGTGGGGAGTTTCCACACGCAGACACACAAAGGAGAAGCAGATTTTCAGTGCAAGAAAAACCAGAAAATTTCCCATCCAACAAAGAACTGAAATTTCATCTTAAAAGCACTGGAGCGAGAGCTCTGAAGCGAGCGAGCTGGCAAGGTACGGTATTTTCTGGGGAACTCTGCCCAGCATCCATTGAAAAGGGGACAAATGTAATGCATTCAGGCACGGTGTCATTGTGCTTGACTGAATCAGCGTTTTCTCCTGGAAAACCCTTGGACTCTGGCTGCTCGCTGCTTCCTTTCCCTGCTCCGCATGTACTCTTGGGCCTTCCAGYGACTGCAGCTGCACGGGATGTGGTGAGAAGATGCCCTGACCACGGGCTGGAGCCGGTGGGGTCCTGCAGGTCCTACTTGCAGCCAAGGTGTCCCCTTCCCAGCAGGACACACAAGGAAGTCATCGTGGGCAGGTCCCCCTCAGTGTCTGGGGATGTCACCGTCCGAGTGCGAGATGCAGCCAGGACCAAGATGTGACCAGCTCTGCCACAAGACTTGGATCTACTCAAAGGCTGGAGTTGGGAAAGCTGAGGAGAGGCTCTCCGTAAGGACACCGCTCTCCAAGCAGATAAATTCCATGATTCCCGGCACTGGTCTTCAAATGGCTCCTTGAGGCCCCTGCTCAGTAAAGTATTTCTCACTGAATTAAGGAGAATTTAAGTGTATCCTTAAGCATTTGGCTGAACAAAGAGAGCCTGTTGAATCAGAAGAGGCTACTGAAGGCAGTGCAGAAGCCCTTAAACATCACAAGGGTTATTTTCTAAAAGTATCTTATTTATTTCCAAGTCCTTATCTTGTTTATAACAAAGAAATGCACTAAATTCCTTTCCCAAGGCTGAACAGTACTGGAGCACATCCACGCCAAACAGAAACAACAAAAAAAAAGTTTGATTTTAGGCAGATTAAATAAGCAAATGGTTATTAGTCTCTTGGCTTCTTTCTCTCTCTTTTGTCCTCTTTATTCCTCTGTTCACAATAAACCTAGAATTTTAGGACCTGGTCCAAAGTCCGCTGAATTTGATGGAGCTCTTTCTGTTGGCTTGAGTGGGTTTTGGAGCAGACCTGCAGGCAGGGGACAGCAGTATCTTTACACAGCTTTCTCATTCAGCATCTAGAGACATAAATATTAATTACTGAAACACTAGTCCAGCACACAGACCTCCCCCCAAATTGTTAATATTCCCTCTGCCTTGTTGCTTCATTCCAAGCTACACTGTTTTCAGTCTCAATTTTTTTTCCTTAGCAAAACAAAATCTATTCAGAATCTGAACAGGCTTCCAATTTCTAGCTCGTTTTTATRAATAGTCTTCCGAAACTTCCATAACACATCACACGCAAGGATAAGAACACAGGAGTGGTTTCCAAAGTTGCAATAATTGCTCTCCAGAACGAACGTGGCCCAGACCAGAGCAGCGCTTGGTGCTGGAGACCGCTCATCGGGACACGACGGTGCCGAGGAGCCCCGGCACAGCCAGCCCCGCAGCACCCGGCGGCCTCTCCAGCAAACTGAGCTCAGCTAGGGCAGCTTTTGAGAGACAAAGCAAAGCCAAGGTTCTGTTCCAGCCAACGAAGTCTGCATGAAAGAGCTGGGCCATTTTTGCTACCGCAGCCACCACGAGGAGCCGACTGCTTCCACCGACCGCTGCCTTTCCCTCTAGTTTTCCAGCTCCTTAAACACTACTAAAGGAAATGCTGCATGTCCTGCATGCAATAAACTTCCTCGAGTGCAATTAAGAGGATAAACGAGCTCCTGAGCTCACACCCCCTTCCCCGTCCCAAAAGCAGAGGGGAACAGCCGGTTCGGATTGACGTATATATTCTCGCAGTACTCAATACACACTTGGAACTCTTAAAGCAGATTGTGAGTTGTCATCTATAACTAAAATATAGAGATACATAGATATTACATGATGTGTTTTGCAGAATGAAAGAAAAACTGTTCTTTTCATGTTACCTCAGTGCAAACATGATTGCTTTCGAATAGCTACTGCTCTAAGAGATGTATTGTCACCGGGTAAATGAATCTGCTACCCAAACTTAATCACTGTAAAGAAAAGGAGCAGATCAACCAGAATATGGATTTTTTTTTCCTTTTTTTTTCTTTTATTTTCTTTTTTTTTGGAGTTTGCATGCTTAGTACAGAACTAGTAGGTTTAAAATTTCACAGAACATACTATGTGAGTCAACTGGATTTTAGAGTTATGTTGGMAAGGAAAATAATGAAAAGTACAGCTTTTCGTTTAAACATATGCAACTCTCTTCATGCAAGGTTTTCTTTTAGTTTTTGATTTTAAATTACACTTTGCATTAAAGAATATAGCCAGTGTAAACACGGTCTGTAACACTTATAAAACAGTGCAAATTTTTAAATCTCTGGGAGGGAGTTGAAACACATATTCATACTGGAGGTAAAATCACTTTCTCGGTAGAAAAATACGTCTATTAAACACCTATATGTTCTGAACTGAACTTCACAAAAGAGCAAGTTATAGTTCTATACTGTGCAACAAATTAATATCTTTCCTAGATTCCCATGTTCTGTGTTCGTGTTAAATGCGTAACATTCTAGACAAACAAAAAAYCAAACTTCCAAAAGAACAGAGAAACATATATTATTTAGAACCTAATGAAAATCTTATAGATAATTACGGATATAAGAAGCCACAGAATAAAGAATCGGGGAAAGAAGCAATGGAAAAAATACTGAACCTCTATGGATTATTGCACATTTGAGGTGATTCTCAAGGGCCTTTAGGCCCATTCTGAATGTTTYAAGTCTTAGGTCAGTGTTTGTTCCATTTGACCGTAGGGTACAATTTCAGAACCACTGCAAAATGTTAGGTATTTCCTGGACTCATTTGCTGATTGAACCCCAGGCAGCTGTGAGCAGAGTGCTAACTTTTACTCATGCAATCAAAGACAGCGGCACTAAGACTGAAATACAGGCAATTTTATGCTGCCTGCATAAAAATGTTTCTGGGGGCTTGCTGCAGCACATCTTGCTGAGCCAAAACTCTCATGTCTGCTGTGATTTCCTGAAAGCTTTGCTAAATGCTGCAAAACTGGCTTCTGACTTCATTAGTTAGAGCTGCTGCCCTCARCGTTGTTGTCTCCATGATCTGGCTYTGCAGGCCTTACCCATCTGAGCATGGAAATCCTCACGAACCGTAGTGGCTGGAAGGAAACTCAGCTCACTGAGTAGTAACGCACGATGCWGGGTATCTCTAACACTTGTCACCCACACACAGCAAGAATACTTTCCATGTAAGATAAATTACTGTATCCTCATTTTACTGATGGGACCACTCACCTAAGTGAGAAATGCACCAGCTGCTGAGAAAGATCACCTTTACTACTTGCACAGAGAGCAGGAATAGTCCTGCTTCACTCACATTAAAAAGATAAATAAATTGACCAATAGATACAGAGAGAACTGTCTCAGGTGATTATCACTGCAATTAGAGTCTGACTATTAGTAAACTTGAAAAATTTAGCACTTCTGAATATTGCTGTAGTAGTTATATTCTATTGCTGACATCCTCAGTAAAAGTTAGTTTTAAACTGTAACTATTTATTTTGGAAAAAAGAAATCCTACGTAAAATCACATTGCCTTTACTATAAATTTTAAAACAGGTCAAGAGGTCTTAAGAAATTTCAAACCAGTGGATTCACCAACAGACAGATAAATGCATACTTAAATTCCTTAAAAAAAGTCATTAAAAATCTGCAAAAAGTGTGAAATAATCTATAACCCACACAAAAACTGTTTAAAATCCTTCTTAAACATCTTCTGGTAGTCTAGTAGGTTGTTTAATAAAAACACATTGCTAACCATTGACTAGGAGTACAACATGCCTCAGTAATAAAATGAACAGATGTTGATGTGAGCAGGTGATTTACACTGCAGTAACTTTTACCGTGTACTTTACTGATAAAGCTGGTAGCTCTTCATCTGCATTGTTCGAGCTGGTCATCCTCTCAAATGTATTTCTGAGATAATGCTACTGGGAAGGCTCCCTCCTCCTCTCTTTTAATAATGGCTCATCCCTTGTGGTCTATGAAGGAGACAATCATTTTTGTAGCGTGACACGACATCGGAATTTCCAATCTGTGCKGAAGTATATATGAAAACAAAAACCCAACAGCTTTCGATTTCAATTACAGTTACATAAATATGGATGTTGGAGATCATATACAGTGAACACTTATCCATCCCAGACTGTAAACCTACTGTAAAACGATGGGATGTGTTTTTGTTCTCCCCCCTCCTTTCTAAAGGACCAGTAAAATTGTACATTGAGAGATAGGAAGGACATTATTGGCTTACAAAAGAACGGCCCCTTTGTCAAGAATTTGTAAACGTAAACAAAAAAGTTCAAGTAGAAAAGCAAGGAAGTGTGCTGCTGCTTCAAACGTGGTCAGACACCCCATGGGGCTACTGCAAAGTTCTCTAAAAATGTGTCTTCATGGTGGTCATGAAGCGTCTCCAAAGAGTTCTGATCTTCACTACCAAATATCGCTGGTGAAGCTAAGCTCCTGTGCTGATAAAGGCAGCAAGGGGTTGTTCCTGGGAAACTCCTGGGGATCCTTCACGGTACTGTTAAGAGGTAGCTGTCCGTTTAGTAGCGTCAAAGGTATGTTACAGTACGTGTGGTGGTTACTTATGGAAGCTATTGGCAATGTCGCCGCTGACACGTCATATTCATATCCTCTGCAGTAATGTCTCATTTGTACAGCATCTGTCTGCTGGAAATCAGTCACATCAGCTCGCGACTCTACCAACGTGGCAGAAGTGCCCGTGACAGCGAGAGAGGGGACAGTCTGGAGGTCTCCAAAGAGGCCCTGTTCTGCAGAATCCAGGACCTGACGCCGAGACACCACCTCCTTTCTCTTCCCTGGCATTTCAAAGACTAGGCGCTTCCAAAACTTAGAATTCAGTTTGCTGCTTTTGGGTCCTTTCCATTTGACCACTGAGAGAAGTTTGATGGTATGCTTTAAAGATTCCACTTCGTGATAATTCACCTTCCCTTTTAATTCAGTACACTCAATCAAAATAACTTTGATTTCTCCACTGACTAGCATGTTATGGAGTCTGTTTTCCATCTCAAAAATACTCCATCCTCTCCTGAGAACATAGTCTGGAGTTAACACGATAATGAGTCTTCTGCTTTGCTCAACACATCTTGTGAGATCTTCAATGTAGGCTACAAATTATAGAAAGAGAGAAAGAGTAAAGAATAAAGAAGTCTATTGTATCAAAACATCAGGCTTACAATTAAGTATAACAAAATCCTACAGCTTACTGCTCCACACCATATAAGACAAAGGGTATTTCACAATATACTCCAACAAAAATAAGACTGCATATCACAACATGACATATTCATAAATACATATAGAAAACTCCTCAGTAAAACCCTCTCTCCTTCCCTGTTTTTTCCCTGTTCATCTCAAGGCAATGACGTTTACATAATATCCTTGCTGTGTAGATGCACTTGAGTGACGCAAAATACACAATTCTCTTACTGAAGAGCACAGCCCAAGGTGAATGTGATGTTTGTGTAAATTTTAACATTAACACTGGTGATGATTAAGGTTGCACTGAGGGAAGCACGCTTTGGGAAGCAGGTCTTGTGTTGCAGATGTGGGACACGAGGATGCTGCAGGGTGTACAACGTGTAACTAGCAAGTGCTCAAAAAGAAATCAGCCCTCATCACATGCAGAAATTGTGCCTTTGCATAGAAGCATCACGGTAGCTCCTTCTCCTTGCTTGACCACAGAGCCCAATAGCCTTCCTTGTGGCCCAATGGTCTTCTTAATACCGCAAACCTGTGCTTCTATGTACTCGAGGTATTAACAGAAACTTCACAAGTGACAGGAACAAATGGAAAATTTGAGTGTATCAGAGGTGTTTATTTTCTGAGACAGAAGTGACAAAGAAGATAGGATTCTTCTTTTATTCATGCATGCCAAGTAGTTGCAAATGACTGGCGTAAGCAGAAACGCTAGCCCCATCATTAGCTCCATGACGTCAGCTTACTGAGCTGCAAAACATTCCTGAAGTTGGACTTTGGGTTTCGGTGCCAAGTTTCACTTGGGAGAGGGAAGAGATGCCAATTACACTGGTCTGACACAGAACATGATGGGAAAGAGACCCAAAACCCACTCAAATGAACAAACTTCAGTGAATTTCAGAAGGTTTTGGGTCAACTCCAGAAAAAGGCAAACGCTTGAAAAAAGTCCTAAGGTCAGAAAAGCATTCAGTGCTTTCACAGCACTGTCACTACAAACTTAAGAGATGGAGATATACACGTTTATACTTAAACTACACGAGCTTGTTGAGCTCGGGCTGCTCACACCACTCGGGATGTGCCATCTGACAACAGAGGAGAAACGGGGTTATAAATGACGACTTGGACACAAGAGCTGCACAGAACAGATCTTTACTCAGCRCAGGGCAGGGCCTCGCTTACACACACTGCCCTCTAGCAGGAACAACGAGTACAAATAACAGCATTAATCAACATCTGTTACTGCAAGACTTATTTTTATAGTCCCGGGCACCATACCATAGCATGCTTATTCACACCACTTCCCGTAAAGCGATTAGCTACAAAATAAACCAACAGGAACATTTTAAAATAGCTTATTTTCATGAGACTGAAGGCATAGTTAGCATAAAATCTGCCTTTACCAATGTTTTATTTCACCACTTAGCAGCAAGAAGAATTTCTTTCACAAATGGAAAAAAATGCAACTGTAAACATCCTACAGACAGACAAATTTAAGACATACACATACATTACAAATGTCTATGCAACAATCCTGACTTTTAGTTCATGTTTTATGATTCTTTAATCATGCAGCATTTACAATTTACTTTTCTTCTTAAAATGTTTTAGGAGGAAAACCCCCACATTGCTCTGTGTCAAATGTTTACTCATTGATGAAAAGAAAAAAAAATTGACATTAAAATCCACAGGAGAGGCAGCGGAGGGGGAGAGAATCRGCAACAGTGAGAAAATGATAAGCAGAACTGGTGAAACAAAACTTAAGGAAAGGTAGAAATGTTCAATACAATGGAAAGAGATTATCCCAATGTATCAACAGCTCAGACTCTTCATTTTCTTCCTTTCTTTCTGCTCCCAAAAAGAAAGAATTTAGGTGGGAAGCTTCATCATTAGARGTTGAATCTGCAAGATACAGTAAAACAACAAGCTATCATGCATCTTTCCTGAGACATGTTCATCCCTCCGTCAAGCAACTCAGAACAGGGCTATGCACAAGACAATGCTCTGCAGGACACAACACCATTCAGTACCACACATGCTGCGCGCGTCCACGGAAACAGAACAAAACCACACTCCACTTTTCATATTTTTGAATGGCCAGTGGCAATACTTTTCATAGCAACGACCCATCAATAATCCATGAGAGCAGCTCAGTCGAAAACTCACCAGGCTTTGCGTTAGTTGACAGGGAATGAGACGAGAGGAAGGTAGGAAAGACTCCTGAATTTCCCTGATAGACTCCTCTCCGCTCTGTGCTTCTCCTATATTTTGCTATGTCCAGTTTAATTACTGGATAATACAATAATTTCAAGCTTTTTTTTCCTTTTTTTTTTTTTTTTCTTTTATAGATGGCTACACAGGACACTTGACAATTACCACTAGGTGCTCTTTCAAACATCAAGTTTGCAACTTGCTCCGATAGACGTGGCCTGTGCATAGGGTCTCTTGGTGCACTAAGGATGACGCACAGTCAAAAGCCCAAAGAAAAGGCCCTGACTATTCACAGTAACTTCAGCTTTTGACCTCCATTAAACCCAGGGAGGACAGAATGGCTTAGTCTGGATGTGCAGCCAAAAAGATACCTCTCAATTTTCACATCCAAAGGGAAGGAAAAGGAGCTCCATGAACATCCCCATGAACACACACAGCTATTTGCACGATTGCCCTTCAGTAATGAAGGCAGATCAACTGGCAGCAAATATATGTTCACTAGACACCATTAGTGAACGGTGCCACATACCTAACAAAGTCTCTTTGGAAAACCCCGGGCACAATCCGGTTATTTTTAGATGTCAAGAAYGTGGGCAGCTGGAATTCATGAGGCRGCAGARGGGCAGGCAAAACTGCAAAGGGCCAGAATGGCAACAGTGACCCTCRGACACCTCTTATCAGACACCTGAGGAGCTTCCCCGCGGTGCTGCCAACCTCTCATCTTCCAGGAAAACGTGGAGGTTTTTACGTCATCACTGGAGCTCTCTTCAGTGCCCGACGGCTGCGCTGCAATGAGTTGCTGTTGTGCTTCCAATGCTGTGAAGACCCAGCGTAGGCTRAGAGCAACTAGATGCTGCTCTAACCGATTTGTATTGCTAGCATTAAAGGCACAATCTGACCTCTTCACTTTATGGGTTCAAAATCATTTGTAGAAACAACATCAGGACAGCATTCCCCTCTAATGCAGCTCAATTTTAAGAGAGCCAAGAACAAGTGTATCATTCTCTTCCCGCAGACGCATCRTACTACAAATGGGTAAAACTATGTTATTTCTGTCTCCCTCATCTCTCCTTCAACTGCTCAGTGTCCTCAGGTCTTCTGAGTCAAAAAAGCAGCCAGGGTTTCAGCTCTTTGGTTAAGACCAAAGAATATTCTTTAACCCCAGGGCTGTGGGGCTGCTGGAGACCCACCTGCATGCAGGAGCTGTGGGCAAAACACACGGCTGCAGCTGTATTCACACCCCAGCCTCGCAGGGCCAGGCCAAAGCCAACTGCAAATGCCACCAGCCCCGTCCACCCTCCACGTGGAGCCAGCAAAGAGGTGCCTTGACCTGGTGTGTTGCCTCAGCCCAGGCAGATGCAGAGGTTATCAAGAGCTTTCCCCTCAAAGATCAGGGAAACCAGCTAGAGAGAACCATCATCCAAATTCTCCCTGGATATTTCCAGAGTCAGCTTTTTAGTTTGTTCGGAAAAGTCACCAAGATAGATAAATGAAATACTGTTTAACAAATCTATTTTTTGCTCGCTCTCAAGTGCAAATAGCAGCTGCCCGCCGTGCCTCGCGCCGSGAGGTGACTGCAATAATGCGCACCCTCCTGTGGCAGCACCTCCGCACTGCAGAGATTACAGGAAACAACCAGCCGTGCAAAATACACCTTATTTACAGTGCTACTGGAGTCGCATACGTTTAAGCAAAGATACAGAAGGAAACATCACAATGGTGAGGGGAAAAGCAGTGCAGTATGTGGGAAGACGCAGCAGAAGACAAGGCAATGCGGTATCTGAGAGACGAGATATTTCCTAAAAATGGAAAAGATTGCTCTTAACACCCCTCATTTTCCACAGAAATCAACCCTAAAGCGCTGCTCTCGTCGCGCCTGCCGCTTTTTGAGACACTCTCTCCAAGTGCCTTTGCTTGCTCAGCTCTGAGGTTTCCAGGAGGCCAATCTGAGCTCCGCTGCTGCTCGCTCCGCAGCCAGGCCTGGCGAGAGCAGGGAACTGCTGAAGGGCCCAAGAGCTCCTAAAAATGGGCGTCCAGCTCTTCCCTTCTTCCCTGCTGCCTCACCCTCTCTTCAGTCCTCCAAAAAAAAAATCCTCCCTCATATYTTTCCCAAACCCAAAGCGTGTGGACCCTGCTCCTCACAGGCACACGCGTCACTGTCACTGATCTGCTCAGGTGCTCCTGCAGCTCTGCACATTTGCATCAGGCCCTCTCAAAGGCTGCAGAGCATGCCTGAGAGGAGAAATGGAGGTATTTATTAAATCTGTGTATGTGCATGAGTGAGAACCGACATTTTCAGGTACCCTGCATTTTCAGAAAAGGTTTAATGAATACCCAAAGCAATGACACAAATCTGCTGAACACCCGACTGACAAAAACAGACAAAATCAAYGTGTGTTGTTGATACAGCAACTGGAAGGAAGAATCTCATTTCAGATGAATCTGTACCTCTGTACGGTTATCATGGAAAGGCTAGATTTAAACTCCCTAATTCATTTTGTGTAGTGGTTCCATATAACTCTGTTACATTGTTGGATAGCAAACATAACTATTTATTACAGTTGTAGGATTTAAACACAAAAGACCTATTTTCTCTTAATAATATCTAATAATTCAGTATTACTTGCTTGTACTGCCAGAGCTAAAAATACTTCAATCCAAGTGCCCTTTCTGAAAGGCCCCATGCCAGGGGACTAGCAGGGTAACCCTAGAGCTTCACCGGGACACGGTGAAAAGCAACAGGGAGGCAGCTCTGACCTAGGAGCTGCAAACACAAATGATAAACCTAAGGCACCACGTGAGGCTCTGCATGATCCCTGATGGGGCTCTGGCTCCCATCTCCTCAAGGGGATCGCTCAGAGCCTCCTTTCCACCCTGAAATACTGAGGAAACTTGGGGCAGGTACTGGCATCTGGCAACCGTACGGCGGCAGCTTCAGGTCTTTGGCAGGAGGCTGCAAACGCAGCCACGTTATAGCTGTTCCCATCTGGGGACATCTGCTCCAGCAAAACTACCACTTTCTTTGCTCAGATTTCCTATATTCTAGCATATACAGAGAAAAGTTCATGCTCTCTTCTGGCATTTTTCACGCAAACGATCTGCAGGAGGAATTCATATGAAAAGGCATTATTTCTYACACAGGCAGCATTTCAAATAAACATGGTATTAAGGTAAACATACTGTGCATGCAGAATTCATCAATATGATGCACATTCTTCAGAGTCTTTTTTGACTTGTCCAAAAATGAATCTGGAAAGGGAGATGTTGTAAAYCCAGCTAAGAAGGTATTAGCTGTTGTTACAGACATCTGAAAGGGCTGTAAAACTCTTCCAACGCTGTCGCAGAATGGATCAGGAACRGACCACTGTATTTCACTGTCAGCATGGAAAACAGCATCAGGATCACTGGACAGCAGGTGGCCCTCTGAGGAATTAGTTTTACTGACACAACACTGATTACTTACCCAATACCGATACTGTTTAGAAACCTAATTGTTGGTCAAAACACTAATGAAAAAATTGCATGTAAACCATTCTATTAACTGGGAAATAAAGTTACTATTTATGACACTTCAAGGGCAGGAAGGAAATTAAAAAAAAAAAAAAGGACTTAATGTGAAAGAAGACTTTTGCTTTTAAAGCTGCTGTGGACAAATCAATAATCACTGAAAGAAATCCTATTTTCAGCGATAAAACAGAGATTGCAAAATGTTTTTTCAAAGTCTCCTGTGTCTGACACAGAAATTTTGGGTGACAGTTGGCTGCTCTTTCCCCTTGGAGAGCTCCTACCTCCCCCTGAAATCAGCATCTCCCCTTTGCTTTCAGTAGTGCAGGRACAAACTCTGACTTAGAGCTCCAGTTTGCAGTACTGGGGAGCTCTTCCAAGCTGGCAACCACTTCACAAAGAGAGGTTTTCCATATCTAGTATTTACAGCAYAGTCCAAGCCTTCAYAGCTCACCAGAAGGAGTTGAAACTYGAAGGTTCGAAATACTTACTTCCACTAGGGATCAGGTCCCTATCCGGAATGAAGAGCTTGTAGCCATAGTGCTTTTCCAGAACATCGGGCAGGATTTCAAGCGCAAACTGCTCCTCATCGTTATTATCACCATCTAAAGCATCAGGATCCACTTTGGTGTACGAAAGATACGCATCGTATTCCTTGTTGTCTGTAAGAAAGCAACATCATGCTCAGGCTGCTGTTTGCAAAAGCGCTATCCAAAAAAGCACAGGGCACTTTGAGGATATTGAACTCTTTTTGGAAATGACAGAGAACTTCCCAGCAAAACTGCTTCAGCAAAGGCACTCATGTCCAACCTGGCTTCCACAGAGATGATTTCCCAGACCCAGATGAAGAATCTCCTTTCAGCTCCCTGCTGTACACTAATTACTAATCCTGCCCCATGTGACAGCTGCACAAGTGTGACACTGCTGCACGTCAGCAAAGACCTGGGGCAAAACTCTGGTACCAACGTGAAGCTGGAACTTTGCACAAAACCCTTTATAGGTATCACTAATGGAAGTTTTTACTTAAGCCTCAGCTCCTGKGCTGCAACAGTACAGACTGTGGGAACGTTTTGAGCTTTTACTTGAAGAGAGAGAATAAATCCTTGTGCATGTAACCATGAAAACACGATGGGGCACATGACTCAGGTGAAAACAGGTCTGCAGAAAGCAATGGCCAAAATAAGCAAACCAACCATGATTTTGGGCATCACTTGCCCCAGGCTACGCTGAGGAATTTGGGCCTGTCCAAGCAGGGGTGAAGGAAGGGCAGAGGGGCCCGTGAGATGCCCCATGCAGAGGTTCAGCTAGAAAGGGCAACTTTCCTCCTCCTCTAGGACTTGTCTCCAGCTCTCCGTGACCAAAAAAATGAAGCCAAGAGCCAGTGACCATGCTGGGAATGGAGGTGGCACCAGGAACCAGGGAGTAAGAAATAGAGATCCACAAGACAGTGAGGGGGTCTGAGACCTTCACACACACMCCCTGCTAAACCCATGCTGGGAACAGGCTGCCTTAGTAACAYTTTTCTTTGTTATTCCCCTGCAGTAATAGAAAAATAGTATATTGGAAAAGTCAACCTTCAGCAATTCAGTCTCTAGGGAAGAGCACAGCTGCCATTATTTACAGAAAATGAAAAATCAAATAGCTAATGTTGTGAGAACAAAATTGCATGACTGTAGGATTGCTGAGCACCAATTATCCATAAAAAACAGCACACAGGAAAGACAATTAAAGCAGTTAAAATTCATCAATACAGTCTGATAAAAGAAAAAAAAAAGCTAATCATAATACAACGCTTTGATGACCTTGCAAGGATGGYTCCTTTCTTATTCTTTGCACAAAGCCAGATCCAAGAGGGTCAAAGGAACAGCAAGCATGTGCATAATTACAYTGATGTAAGAGGTGAGCCGGGCGCAAGGAGGTCCAACTGCCTTGCTGCTATTTCTCTGGAATCAACCAGGTTAAAATGGAGGTTATTGATGGAAAAATGTCAGCACAGTCATGTTCCAGCCCTGCACGGCCCTTCACAAGCCTCGTGGGGAGGGCACAAGGAGCTGCCCAGGCCGGCCCACTGCTGGCTCTGCCAGCCTTGGATGCTGCCCTAAGCTGCTGGCAGGTTCTAGGTGCCTTCCCTTAACCCTGACTCTTGAGAAACCTCTTCTCTAAAAACAAAGCTTCACAAGATGCAGGAAATGAATCACTTCCTCAACACCACTGACATTGTATTTTTAGTAACAAGATAAAGCCAATCTGTCGAGTTCCAAATCTTGTTATTTTAAAGAAATAAATGTGCAAATGAGACATGACGCTGCAACTGGATCTATACAGCCGACCCCTCATGGGAGCTGTGCATGTCCCTACCAAAGCCTGCACAGATACAAAGACATGTCCTCATAGATCCTTGCACTTCAGAAACTTTCTGCCTCTGTGTTTCATTCTGCAGAATCAGAATAAAATACAAGGCTAGAATAAAGCTAAAACCACACACTGGAATAATAAAAGGTTGTTTTCAAAATAAAAGGAAATCACTGGGTCTAAACCCATGGAATTAGAGGCAAACTACTACTAAAGACACAGAATTTCACCTTTTACTTTCCCCTATGTGAATCAGAATAACTATCAATCAAAAACCAACAATTACAGCTATAGTATGAAAAAATATATTTCTGTATTTTCTTATGTGCTCATAAAAATTGAGAGAGAGGAAATTCCCTGACTTTTGTCCCTGCTTTTAAGCCTTCCCCTGGCCTATATTGTACCCATCCACCAGAGCTGCCACAGGTTGCATTGCAGCGAAACTTTTTCACACAACTTCCAATGAGTGCTTAGCAGAAAAGTTCATTATTTTTATAAAAGGCAATGGTAATTGCAGAAAGTAAAAGGTCTATGCAATTGCACAATTGTTTTTGCACAATGGGGGAAGTGTGCTCCCCACTCCATTTTCAAGCACATTATTAGTACTTTCAGACTGCTACGTGACTCAGGCACGGCAGTGGATTATAAACGGTAGCAATGTTTTAATATTCTACTTCAGCTCTCTAACAGATACCAATTATATGCACATTAATAATATATCAATTATAGTATAATAGTAACATATTTTGGATGTACTAAATGGCACAAGGTGCTTGGATTTAGTTCATCACTACTTACTGCAGGCTCTTAGGAGCAAGAATGTATTATATTCCTAGCAACCGAATCCCCGATTGAAAAGCACATGTTTAGCTTTAGGCACAGAAGAGATTATATGCTGCTGAAGCTGGGGGGTTGGAACATGGAAAGACACCACGTGCTATTCTGAGACATTAGATTTCCATTAAATTATTTCCAGATTCCCAGCTAACTGAGGTAACTAGTTAACTGCAATAGCAATTGTCCCTCATGACCACAGGCAGCTGGTGGTCTGACACATGCTCTCAGGAGCACGCGATCTTGGGCAGACATGAACTGAATTACACGTGAGGAATTTCCCCGAGGAATCAGGTCACAAACCATATTCAAGCCTCTTTAATAGACTGCTGAAAATCTCTTACCATTCTAGCTTTCTTACAGCGTGACCGACCCAGAGATGCTTCAGCAGACAGACTCATGAATTTCCATGGGGGTTTTGGGACCCTAGTCTGTGGGTGCTAGGTAGTTCGAACCTAAGCTGGTGGCAATTTRTCTTTGGGAATTCATTTCACTCCAAGGTTTCCTCACTTTGGGTCTCTGAAACCTTTCTATGAGTATATTGAGGTCCCTGAGATGCTGCTTACCATCCGCTGCCTCRTCTCCTCCAAAGTTCTGTCGGTAGAACAGCATCAGCTCTATGTTGTAGCACTTGTAGATGGTCACAAGCAAAATAAGCAGAAGCAGGATGGCTCCCAATCCTCCAGCTAGCTCGATTTTGTAGATCAAATCTAAGATTAGAAAGAAAATAACAGAACGGTTATGAACCCTGTAGACTTTGATTGTTCTAATCCATTGTACAATCCCATATACAATTGCACGACTTCCTGTTAGAACCACTGCGACATCAAGGATGCCTAATTCTCTGTTCATTACCAGTTATTTAACTTTACTGATTTACTCCTTCTACCGCCAGTCTGAAATTGCCATCCAGAACGCATTTGAGGCTATAATCATAATTCTTCTGCAAGGGAATTATGCAGTGATTTTACACTGAGGATTAATCAATCTTTAATGAGCTTGCGGAGTTTGACTGAATCTTGTCTTGCCAAAGTGCTCCCAATGCTGCGTGCAGCACGTGAGAATAGACAGACTGGACATATTCTACCCCATTTCTGAGACTCTGGTCCCCCAAACTAATGTTAGCTCTGCTTTTGTATCAGTCAATGAGTTGATGTGACCCTGCCAAACCAGACTTTCAGCTGCATCACTGGGGAACTAATTGAGCATCTAGAGCACCCCAGATAACGTGGGAAGCCAGGAGCACAAATCTGGCTGCTAAAAGCTACTTCGTTCGAGTTGTGATGGCTACAAACCAAGTTCTTGCATGCTTGTTTAGTATACATTATATTTTAATGGGAACTGGCGTTAGTTAAAATCTCCTACTGGGATGCTCTTGTTAGGAAACATCACAAACAGTTTGTCTCAAAGTACTTCACAAATTCATTCCAACGCAATTATCCATCTTCTGCAACTGTGGAAACAGAGGCAGAGCAAAGTGAAGCCATGTGCTCAAGGTCGTTCAGGAAGCCAACGACAGACCGAGATAAAAAACATAAAATACCAGTCCAGTGCTTGACCTCACATCACAYGCTGAGACTCGCACAGTAGTGCAGCTTAGCCTGAAACGTCCTCTGAACACAGTATTACCAGTGACACCACTTGGTGCATTGCATAGCCATAAAAGACCCAAGATGACAACAGCCTATATTAGTTTAGATAAGATGTCATGAAGATATTTACTGCTGTGATAAATACCATGTGAAGATGTAAAAACTGTAATACTAGAGAGACAAAGTTTTTTGTGACCTTCACGCTTCTAAAACTTAGGTCAGAAAAAAAATTACTTGTGTGTCATTCATGTGGTGCTCAAGACTAAAAGAAAATTATCTGCGTATCATTTGGGGCTACTCTTGCCTTCCCATGCCTTGTATTTCAATAATTAACGTCAGATGTCAAGCTATTCCCAATTTACATTATCTCTGATATCTGTCTGGTAAGAAGTCAGGGACTAATAGATGGAAAAGGTCTATTACAAGAGCAATTTTATCTCTCTGAGAATATAGAGAATCCGAAGGACTTTTAKCACACTGCATGGTAAAGCTGGCACATGCACTTGAGGTAAATCTAGTCAAATGGACAGCAGAATTGGTTAAAACCATTTTTCAGTGAAAAAACAACTTTTCATGTTGTCCTGAAATTTTCCTCACAGGAAATTGAGATTATTGCAAGATTGTCGGGTTAGGGAGAAAATGAAGGGCATTCAATTCTAAACTGATTTATACACCTTGCAGAGCAAAGGTCCAAGGACAGAACCTTCTGTATAGATTGTCTGGTTGTTATGTTGTATGGATTTGCTCTGGCCTTTCTAATACTCATCCTTGTACCTCATAACTGTCCTCACTTCCAGATTTGAAAAGGCAGAAGGCCAAGGCTTTTGGGCTTCTTATTTCTGTTGTACAGTGGAAACAATTGAGAAAAGCCCAAAACGCTCAACTTGGGCACGGCCTCTGACTATTGCCTTTCTCCTCAAGTGGTTCTCACTGAAGTCAACAGGAAATACAACTGAGTTGAACCCGGGGAAGGAGCTGAATCTGGACTATTGCCATAATAGTGACTAAGAATCCATAAGCCATCACACTCGGATAGACTCCAGTGTAAGGCAATGCAGAAGGATTCAGCCACAACACATTATGTACAGGATTATACTTTATGAAATACTCACAGTATTAGGTAAATACCTAAGAAGCAAGAACCAAATATATCAATATATCTTAGAAAGCTCCTCCTTGTTAGTTAAAATATCAATATATAAAAAAAAAAAGTCAAAACATGTTTCCTTAATGTCTTGAGCAAAGGTAGCCTTGCGGAAACTAAGTGTTGAGCCACCCCACTGTAAATATTATTTTTGTTTAAACACACTTTTTTTTTTTCCCCCATTAAGAGTACAGACTGATTTTTTTTCCTGCAGTTCTTGACAAGTTACTTGTGTCCCAGGACAGTTATTTTATTACTGCACTTAGACTCCTATTAGAAAAATGCTGGGATCCTGGGCTGAGCTCCTGCCTCGAGCGGTGGTTGCAGAGGCTTTTTTAGCTGACACCATCAGCTCAGCTCTGAGCAAGTGCATGGAGAACATGGGAGCATCACTGGGTTCACAGCCTCTGTGTGTGCCCAGTGCAAACATTTCTTCTGTTTTGGTAAACTATCTTAYAGCCAAGAATAACAGCAAAGACCTGGGCAATTTATTAGCTCTTCAGGTAATCTCCTGTGCTGATTGCTCTGTGGCTTCCCAATTACTGTTGGGGTCCAAGTGTGCAATTCTTCCTCGCTTTCCTAACAGCTGCTGCTTTACAGCTTCTATCCCTGCTAATATTCTGCATTTTCAAGAGATCACAATCAAGTTTAAATGTCACCCTCTTTACAAACAGGAGAGGCTGTTCAAGTAGCTTGAGAACGGTAATGAGATACCATTCCACTGCTTAGCATTGTCACTGTCAAAACCAAGTGCTTTGCTTTGTGCTACAGATGATAATTTGTCAGTACCGGTACTCCCACTTCTAGAGTATCAAGGTAACACAATATGGGGTAATTCTCCATTGATTTGTAGCTCCCATTGCAATGTTTTCATTCCTGTTTCAGTTAAAAAAATCAACACACCTGGCAACCATTTCCAGTTTTCAATTTAAACAGGAAATCTAGGAAGTTGGAGAAACAGGAGAAATCTGACCTCATGTCTGAGCTCTACATATTCTAGTAAAAGCACGTTAACCCTCTCTGCCACACCATTACCTGTGGGCTGGTGTCCATCAACTCTTAGTCAAATTTGCAGGGTGTTTAGACTGAAATACTTGCACTGACTTTAGCAGCGACCTGATTCCAGGCAAGCACATCACCTGCAGAGCTTGTTCAGCAGGGCCTAGGCAACAGTTCATTACATTTCTCTACAAATGGTAAACTGAAGCCATAACCCAAAAGCACATTAGCTCTGCTCAGCACACGCACTTGCGAGAGGCCAGCAGGACCCCAGCTCCGGGCTCGGCGGCTGGCGGGGACACGTCCTTTCCTGGGGGACAAGAGCTCAGGAATAATAATAATAATAATAACAACAACAACAACAACAATCATCACCTTTCTTACGCAGGAGGACACTGGCATGCTTCCGCCCATTCCTGTTTTCCACGTGGCACGTATAGTTTGCCAGGTCTGCCTCTTCCACAGCATCAAAGATCAACGTCAGTTCCACTTCCTTCTCTCCRAGATGTTCTCTGAGGAGTCTGGAAGGAAGGATACAGCCTTCTCTTAACTGAACGGAAGGAATGAAGGTAGGATGGAAGGAGCCTTAATAAACCATGACTTTTGGTTTTCTACATTTTCTATGAAATGTCCCAGGTCTCTTGCACTCCCAGAGAACTTAGAGGAAATTAGCGTTACATGGAAGAAATYTAACAGAAGTAGCTTTTCTGCTGTCCAAAAGCCTCTTTTCTTTCTGTGTTTGYATCAAGGAGCTGAACCAAGCATAGGAAGTGCAACAGTAAGTGCAATAGTTGCCCCTAGCATGTAAACACCAGAATTAACCTCAGCTTTACCACAACTAACATGCTAAAAACAAGAGTCTTTATTTTAAAAGCCCTCACTTACCAGAGAAATAAATATGCACCACCAAGTCATAGCTGAGCAAATTATAAGACAATATATTAAATCTTAACTCTACATTTTAATGCAGCCTGGAGGAGCAGCAGCAGCAGCTGTGCTACTCTGTGGAAAACTCCTGATTTTGGGGGCAAGATCCTGACTTGAAAAGGCAACAGTGACAAGAACAAGAGCTCTTTGGAGAGCGCAAGAAGGAAATGCAAAATCCTCACTAAAGGAACAGAAAGCTCTGGCAATTTCGGGACAGAGGAGCAGTCCTTTCATATGATTACTCTGATGCAAACATTAAAACAAACATGAAGTAAATGCAAGCGTTTTCTGATGATGACTTAAGCCTAAAAATAAAACACCCTATTCCCTCAAAAGAYGTTTCATCAGTTGCTCAAGAAAGTTACTGCTTCTTTGACTGAGGAAACGTAAAGTCAAGCATAATCTGCCAGATGCATTTGGTCCTGATCGTGTTCGGCTGCGTAAAGTGTGAGGGGATAAACACGAGCTGTGCGACGTGGCACCACGGCCAGGACGGCAGGTTTCACCCTGAAAAGAGAGCGGGGTGCACTAAGAGGCAAAGCAATTATCAACACGAGTAACTACACCAACATAAGAAATGCTTTCTTCAGGGATTGTTTAATGGACACAGGCAAGGAAGGGCCATTAATCCCTGTGCTGTTTGCACCGTACGGATGCTGTTTTTCCAGGACATTTTAGTATTTTTTGTTAACAGCAGCAATGCTCAAACTTCTCTATTGCAAACCAAAATTGTCCCAAGTGTTCAAAAACCCACTCTTATTATGGTCAGGGAAGCCCTTCACACAGGGAATGTGAATATCTGCACTTAAACACAAATAGAATGGAGGGGTACACTGCACAATCAAAAATCTAGGYATTTGAACTACTTATTTATGGTAAGACTTCATACAGCTTTTATAGGCTTAGGCGAGCTCACAAAATCTCAGGACACAAAACAGTATCTTCAACAATTTWTCCTCTTCTACCATAGCTGAAAAACTTGCAAAAAAACAAGTGCAAAAGCAATTTTTTTATTTTATTTTTAAGATCAGGCATATGTCTTGTTTTAGAAAAGGTTGAACTGCATCTTTTTTTGCAATTTCATCCTCATTTATTCTCCACTTCTGCAGTTTCTTATTCTGACCCTGACTACAAGTGCTGAAAATAATGCAAGAAATGCTGAATTTGTATCACTTCTGGCCGGAAGAGAAACTGCCCAAGAGACCCTGCTCTGTTTGCAGACTCTCATTTTTAACTTGTGTTTCATCAGCCTAAATGCTTGAGAGTCTGAGAAATCAATTCTTGTTTAGCTATTAATTTTCTATGTATATAGTGAAATATTTTGAACGTTAGAGAATTTTTCTTCTCTGTTGGTAAACAATATGCTCCACAAATTTTGGCCTAAAAATCATGCTGTAGGGAACAAATAAAGCCATTAGCAGAGAAGATATCTGGGATGTTAATGTGGAGCACTTTGAGAATGTTCAAATTGTCTTGTGTTTGCTACAATCAGCATATTTTACGCTTGGTAACAATCGTGAAGGCAGATTACAATTTAGGTAAARTAATTTAGTATTGTGAATCTATTTTACATAAAATAATCAACTCAACCTACATATAAATAACACCTGATCATCTAAAGAAACTGCTTTCATAAAAAGGAATATGARCTTAGATTTTTTTTCCCCACTTATTTTCATGCTAATTGCAATCTCTATGAAGACAACTCCTTAGAACAGGCTTTATCAAGCCAATACTAACAGATGCTTAAGCTTTACATTGGTAGCAAAGTGTGGGAAGCTCCCAGTGGGATTAAATCTTTTATTTCTGTCTATTTTTTAAAACCAGTACTATCCAGCTTATGATCAGTGTCATTAATAAAGTCAGTCACCTCAAATTTTGTAATATATATACAGCCTTTAACTGACTGCATTTTGTAGCTGGTCTGGAAAACRTTGAGCACAGTATTTTGAGGGAAGAAAAGGAAAACAGTGTCAACAAGTTAGACTTCAAGGGTACACCAGTGTTCGCTCCACATGCACAGCTGAGGTTCCGGCCCTGGGTTGGTGGGAGCTTTGCCAGTAACGTTACCAGCATATGTCAATTCCCACAAGTTGAGAAAATAATGTCTTTTTTTTTCCCTGCTTTGATGGACAAACTGTAAGAGTAATTAGATCATTTAATGCATACATAAATCAAAGGTGCTTGTCAACACCTAAACAAGATGAAAGGATAAAATGTGGGTGAAATTAAAAAAAAATGTTTTTTACTCAAGTTGCAGCCTTTTATTTGATCTAAAACAAAACATTTTATTCTGTCTAGTGGTTATTTATCACTTAAGGCAAACGGAATTAAAAAAAGTGCCATTTCAGACTGAAAATGTTTTCTTTGAAAAATGTCCAAACAGTGTTTCAGATTTTTCAATTACCTGTCATGCTTTTCCCATTGTGGTTATGCATGAAGTGAACCTGAAGTTACAAACACTTCTCCTTTGAAATGATGTTTTCCTGGAATCCTCATGTTTGATATGTTCATTTTAGGGCTCTAAGAAAGCTTCGCCTGGGTCTATTCACAGGATCAAGGCATTAASCCAAACCTTTACTCCTCTGCATGTGAGTTGCGACTTAACTAAAGGCAAACTTCTATTCCTTAGATAGCTGAGATCTGGACTGTTAACATGGATGTGAACTTCAGTCCTTATTTCAGAAAATTGTTAACAATRGTCTGTAGATAAGAGATTATTAGCTTGCATATGAGAACTCTCCAAAGAAAAGCAGCTCAAGTAACAACCCGGCACGGCAGCCTCCTGTCTCAATCGCTCCTCTGCATCCTGGTTCTCATTCTGTCTCTAAACTGCCTACTTAAATAGCCTAAGTTTTTCAGGAGAGGGCTGTCATTTCCCTACCTCTCTGCAGAGTACTGAGGACATCACTTAAGCAATGATGGTGACATCCTGCCTTCCTCCCTCAGCATCCTCTCCTAACCCGGCAGCCACATCTCTGAGCATTTTGCACCCACTGATGGACTTGTGTGGATGAGAAAGCCGAGTGAAGCAGCCAGAGGAGATAAAGCTGCAGTTCAACACGTCTCCATTCACTACGACTCACACCTCTTGAATGAGTTGAACTATTTCCACTTAAAAATGAAGAAGGGAGAGGAGGAAAAAAAAAGAGAAAAGAAAAAGACAAACCTACTCTTCAAGCTGAGTGTTAGGAGGTATCTGCAAAGTGTTCTGCAGTGTCATCTGAAAGCAGAAGTAACTCACAGGCAGACAAGACAGCAATATTTATCACTGCAAATATTTCCTTGCTGTGGCAGGAAGATGGGGTGAAAATTTGCTCTGGGCTCCCCTGCTAGTCAGGTGCAAGTGATAACTCTGCTTGCGGGCTAATTCCTTGTTTAACAGCCTCATTCAATTTACATGGCATTTTTATTATTGCTGTGGCAAACTCACCTGTCAAGCAAAGTCTCCTTTGTCTTTTCTTCCTATGAATTTCTAACATTTGGGGAGCTTGGTTCAAGGGCTGGCAATGAGGCTACTAAGAGGGAGGTCCATCACCTTGCCTCGCAATGCTGATGAGTTGCTTTTTGTTATGAGGCTTTCTAACACAGCCTAATAAATAACCATAAACCCAGGGCTASACGTATTATTTATCATCAAGTGTATTTACCAAAACTAACAGCTTCACGGCTTTGAATTTGAAAGCAATGCTCAAGTCACACGCGCTCTTATTGCAGCGCTTTCATCAAAGTGCACATTAATTGACTAGTAAATAAGTAATGGGGGTTTTAGGCCCCTACAATGCATTAATGTGCAAACCTGCTCCCTCCTCAGCACAGAAAATCCAGTGACACACGGGATGCACACAACCCAGGGCAGGGACAGCACCAAAATCAGATGTCTACCACCAAATTCACATAACTTAGTATTTTAACTTTACATCCCTTGTCTTAAGCACTCAAAGGAACAACACATGTAGAGTTTTAGTCCAGTTGTAACCACCCCCAACTATGGAAAATTTCTCAGCGTTAATGGAAGCCTGTTGATAACACCATATAAAGCAAAGTGACAGGGAAAGTGTCWAACTGGCAAGCTCACTGTGGCATCAAGCTTACAATATCCACGATATTTTTTGAAATAGCCCAATAAAATAAGACTGAATGGAAGACGTGGACTGGTTGAGGCACTGAGGGAACAGTTAACGCCGCCTGGCTTTGCAAAGACCACGTACCCATAATGGGAGGCCTAAGCGAGAGCTGTCACTGTGAAAAGTCATTTGCAAAAAGTTCCTACTGCAGTTGCCATAGCTACTTTTAAATCAAAAAAGGGATGGCCTCTTGTAGGGCTGATAATGATGCTGGAGGCTTTGGTAAATGCTGTGCTTTTAATGCTGGCTGTGATGCAGGAGATGGGCTGTGTGTTAAGCAGCTTTACTGAAGTCTCGCTGAATTGCGAGGGGCCTATAAATTGAGTCGGAGCATTTTAGTGGAGAGAGGAAAGAGGGTGGTAACATGGTTTGAATCAAGAATATGCAATGAAACAGGGCAAAGACGCACAGGAACAACCTTTTCCAACTCAAGTTTCACTCACAGAAAAACACATAAAGGACCAGATTGGAGGGTCTTTAAATGCAAACCTCAAATTGTCCTTATGRTGTGAAGGAGGAACGTGACCAAAATCATTCTGTTCATGAGTCAAATGCTCGTTACTTGCAATAACAGAAGTTTCCAGTAATTGTTTTCTGTGTCAGAAGCCCAGAAGGGGATTGTACACTTAAAGCTTTCTGAGGATAAATGATAAACTTTGTCTATATGCAATTATGAAGCAGTGTTAGACCAGCTAGTTTATTTTAATAACTAGTGATTATTACTAATGGGTATTATAGACTGAMTTTTCAATTACACAATAAAAGAGTCTTTCTCTGCCTTCTCCCATAAATTACTTATGAAAGAAAAACTCTGAAATTACACCAAAAGTGCACAATGAAACATGAAAAGATTTTTGTTTTTCTTTATGATCTACATTCTTCACCTGTGTATGGGAGCTGGGACCACCTTGGCCATTCTATAATTCTAGCTTAGTCATTGCCCAAAGAGTTGTTGATCAAGTAATTATTTATCAGGGGAGATGAGAAGATCCCATCAGGTACAAAACTCATGAACTTTCATGGGGGATACAAGCAATTTTGTTTTTCATCACCACTCATACAGCACATGAAAATCAGCACCTGGAACACAACAAGTGCAAGCTGGGCAGCAGATACCCCCACACAGTGTTTTCTTTCTCTCCCTTAAAAAAAAAAAGAGTGGAAGAAAAATCCTGCTGTCTTTAGAAAGTTCTAGTTAAGCCACATTGAAAAGCACATCACGGGGAGCCAATACGTTTGGTAGAGAAAAAGTCCAGGCACTTTGACAGGGGACTATTCATCTTTAAGATTAAGAGTGATGCTGAAATTAATGACATCTGGCCCAAGGCCGCCACGAGGGGCAGCGGACAGCAGCATTTCCACATGAGGATCAAATCCCCCCCAGATCAGTTGGAGATGCAGACTCATAGGGGATCTGCTGATGGATTCCTGGATGCATGGATAGCAACTACAGCTCCAGGGTTATCCCCTAGGAACTTGCACTGCCCTGCTTCCAAGTCATCCATCACTTATTAGACAGCTCATATTAAAAGTCCGTTTAAAATAAAGCAGCCTTTTTGGACATACCATATACTTAACAGTAAATACTCCAAAAAAGTACCTGACTTCGCCTTCTCTAATGTGACCTTCTAATTCTTCAATGAATTTTTCCCCTTTCATCCAGTAGATCATGGGCCCCGATTCTCCGCTGAATCCGAAGAAGGCTTTGCAGGCTACGGTCAGCGGGTTGCCTGAGGACGACAACCAGAGCAAGGGTTAGAGCCATGGGCACGGCTGCTTGGGAGAGAAGGATTGCAACAATTCTCCACGCTTTATCTAAAATTCTCCACTGAAAACTGAAAAGAGAGTAACCAGAAACCATAGGAAAAAGGATGACATGGATTTGATCTTACAGGAAATCGCTGTGGAACACAACTCTGAGGTTATGCATCATTTCATTATTCCTGGCAAAACAGCACRTGAGCAACAACAAGGTAGGGTAATGGTGGTGATGGAGGCTCATGTTGGATGGGCTGTTAATAAGAAAGAGGTTTCTTGGTCAGACTCTTGGGAGCTCCACCAGGATTGCAGTGCCCTCAAGAGGCAGGTATTTCACTGAACTTACTTACAGCTGCCTATCCACCTGTAAAAAAGACATCATATTAATTTCTTCCTCACTTAAATAGAAAACAAACGTTAAAGAAGTTTTGGTGAGCAGCTCAGAGGGGTTTTAAAGGCCTCCAATGAGTAAGAGATGCCAGTGAGCACCCAACACCACTTGGGTTACYTTCAACAGCCTTGGTCCTCAGCAAAGGAACTTCAAAGTACTGCTCAAGCAATAGGGCAAGGAGCTCTCTCCTTCCAGCTCTTCAAAAATATTCCAAGAAAACAAAAATTGGAAACTAGATTTGATTTCTCTGCAGGAATGCAGTGTTTAGATGGTTTTCTGTTTGGCTAGGACTTTAGCTAGCTAGTCAAACACTCTGCAATGCTTAGGCTGCCAGGACAGATGGTCGTCTGCCTGCAGAAGAAATTGAAAAGCCCCAAATGAAGCCAGAAATTCAGGAAAAATCTCTCTGGCCACTTTACCTGGCACAGGGGGCACAGGTCACAAAGTAGCTGTGAAGTTACCAGTTTATATGGAGGACAGGCCTCATCTAATTACAACGAAGCCTCCTATGTATCTTCTAGTATTTGAACCAAATACAGAGAGTCCAAATAACTACTGTATTTCTGGAAGAAACATGTTTTTTATCCTACTAACAGCACTGGTAGGAGATTTTTTTGATATTGGGCCTCTACCTTTCAGGAAGGGCCGGTCACGTTGAGCATACTGCTTGGTTGAGCGTGAACTGACAGACTTCCTACCCCTTTAGCAGTTACCTCTTATGTGACAATGACAACCAACTGGGTGAGTGTGACAGGCGCAAGCTCAAAGGTCTTTGCCTCACCCCCCCTCCATAAAGCTGTGCTCCCAGTTGGCTGTCCATAATTTTGGTGCCTAACGTAGGGCTTGTCAAAAAAAAGGCTGATAATTCAAGACACGGAGCATCCCAGCAAGAAGCCCAGCCACTGAAAAATCAGCTGCCCTTTAATTGTTCTCAAAGGCCAAAATCACAGGTCTTTCTCAAACATTAGCAGCAAGAAAAGGAAGTTTTATTACTGCAGTAAATTATGGTTCACAAAAAAAAAAAAGGAAAGAAAAAGGCCAGAAAACAAAACTGGAAAGGAAATCACAATGTTTATCCTGAAAACACTCATTTTTCACCATCTCCATATTTGCTAAGCACTCTGCTCCCACAGCCGGCCTCTGACCAGGTGCTCACAGATTACACACACCAGCTCAGAGCTCAGACACGAAAGGCTGGATAACCACCGTTCTTTGCGCATCCCACAACACCGACCACAGCCCTAACATTCAAGCTTCATCAACCGATGAAGAATCTAACGACGTTTCTAGGCAAACATTCAATTGCACCCCAAGAGGCTACKGGGGACGTTGGTTGCACTCTGCTGTTGCTCGCAGGGACGAGGTTGGTGCTGGGGGTGACAAGTTTGGGCCTCTGGCTACATCATCCCACAGCTTTGTACCGTGTTGAGCGCCAGGTGCGAGGTCTCCTGTGCTGCCTGCCTCAGAGTCATGATATGTGTCTATTTAAACACCACTTAGTGACTCCTAGCATGTGGCTGCTCAGCCCCTGTTTGATTTTAATGGAAAAAGACAATTATAGCAACATGAAAAAGAAAAAGGCTAGATATGGCCTATCAGCAATGGCAGTCCATGCCCTTTCCTTGGCAAACCATGCTGGGCATTAAGCGTTACAGGCAGAGCATTTTGCAGGTGTGTTCTTTTTCCTCAAAACAGCCTATTTTTACTTGAAGGAAAAAAAAAAAAAAAAAAGAAAAAAGTATTCCAAAGTGAATAAGATTTCTATACATGCAGAGTACATAGCCTGAGGTGATATGTTTGGTCTGAAGAAATAAAAACATTTCTGTACAAACAGGAAAAGCTAAAAAACAGCTGTTGGAAGGGAGCTTCTGGAGTAAAGAGCACCAGGATGGGCCTGCCCTGTGCCAGGCCGGGTGCCCTGGTCCAGCCTCTGCAGATCTGTGTCTCAGCTTGGCCCTCAGGGACAACCTGCAGAATAAACTAATCTAAGCAATGGGACTGGCAACACCTGAAAACACCCACGGCCGATCTCATCTGCAAAGCCATCACAAAGAGGTCTAAGCAATYGTATCACATGGAATACCAGTTTTATCTCAGTAGCAAAACGACCCATGTTTTGGGTTCAGCTGGTCTGTCCTTGGGCAGAAAGGACCACAGAATGACTAAGGTTGGAGGGGACCTTTGGAGATCACCTAGACGAGCTCCCCCTGCACAAGCAGGGTCATCTGGAGCACGCTGCACAGGATCACATGCAAGAATGCCTTGATGAGATCTCCAGATCTCATCCAAACGCAAACTCCCACACACAGCTCTTCCCTTCCCAAGCTCAGGCAAAAAATCCACGCTACAGAAGAGAGGAGGTTGCCTTCTCCCACCACGTTAAGACAGCCAGCTGCAACCTGCTTTTCAGGGAACTCCAATTCCTATCCAGCAGCACAGAGAAACAGGGCACGGCCCCTTGCATTTCACCCCAAGCAAGGAGATGCTGAGGCCAAACTCCCCAGTTCCTGAACATCCCCGTGAATACGGGGAGGGAACAGGCACCCAGTAGGGAACGTGCCCGCTGTAGGTCTCGGCTGGCGCTGCCTCGGAGCCAAGCCAGGCCATGCCGAGGGGCCATCCCAGGCCAAAGGGACCAGCAGGCAGTTTGCAACCCCGACTGGGCACCCCAAACCTTCCCGACACCATCCCTGCTGTTCTGCGCCGCACTATCAACCGCTCCTGCTACGAAAAACTCTCCTTGCATCAATCTAATTAAAAACACCCAAGTTCCAAGAACATATGGCATCCTTAAAGTTTCCCATTTATAAACGGCTTCTATTTAAACCAGATAGACATTTCAGATGCTTTTTTAATTAACAAAATAATTTGCTGAAAGCCACAGAAAATTACTAGAGATTTGCAATGAATCAACAGCTAATGGAACGTCTGAAAAAACACGAAGCGACAGGAGAAAAGCCTCCTCGTGGGCAYCCCTGGTTGTGCTGCTTCGCTGAGGTCACCTTGCCACCGTGAAGCCTCAGCACCCACACGGAAGCCTCTACTTCAGCTTTTTTCYCCCTTTTTTTCCCCCTGGTTGCAAACTCCCAGCTGATAAGACACAACTGCTGGCGACAGAAATGACTTTTACGGATAGATCTATTTGTAAAGTGTTCATCTGACCTTTTTCACAACGCATGTGTGTTCAACTCTACGTTTGAACAATCTCCTTTTTTCCTAAAGATGAGAATTACACACATATTGAACTATTTAAGCAAAACGGCTGCCTGGTGGGGCTAGGAGACCTGGGACAAATGCTGCCTGCTGCACGGGCTGTCTGCAACAAGGCACACTCCACGCATCGAGCAAATGAAGCTTAAAAAACCCGAAAGTTGTTCCATCCTTTAAAAACTTAAATGTCAAGGCTGAGTGACCAGCTAGAAAACAAACCTGTTCACAGATTTTAAGACCTGTCCTACGTCAAAGTGATTTTTCAGAGATTTATTTGAAAATAGTGATTAATTTCTCTTGTTTCCTCCTTTTGTGCAACTGGGTGTTCTGTGGCTTATTTGCTAGCCCCATTTGRGAGTGCAACACAATTCACATTCCTGCACGTCTACACTCCGCTGGTGCTTTCTTCTGCCAGCAAATCAGACTTTCATTCCTGGAGCAAATTACCTCAATTGAAAGGTCATCAAAATCATTTGTGGATCCCTCTTTCATTTTTCTATAGCTTGAAAAGTAATTTTTCCCCCTTTTTTTTCTTTTACCCCAGCCACCCACACTCACAGTGGGCCTCAGCAATGCACTGGCATCTCCTTGTGTGGAAGGTGCAGGCTGAAGCTGTTAATCATCACAGCCCAAAGCAATTGCTTATTTCCTAAGAAACTCAAAGAAATCATTATAGGAATAAAAGATAGTAATAACACATCCTGGCATCCATTCTCCCAATCCCATCCTGACTGCCCAAATTAGACATCACCAGCAGGAAGGGCTGCACAATTAGGCCCAGGACAGAGCCAGACCTCTCTGGTGGCAACGTCAATCCTTTGAATCTCACTGCTCCCCCCTTGGCTTCCTTTCACTGAACTCTAAAATCATTTGCCACCTAATTCGCACCATGTATTTCAAAAGACTCCATCRACTGCTGTCAATAAGTATTTTTTCTGACAAGACCTGCCACATCTTTAAGGGAGAGATCTCTTCTGCAGCCCCCCAGGAAATGAAGGGCAAGGAAACATGAAGGGGCTTCATTGCATCAAAGAGGGGGACAGTTTTAGGGGGCTACATGGCATTGCCTATGCTCAGCTCTGCTGAAGCTGTTGATCCAGGCCCCTAAGGATTGACACAGCAYGGATGTAATTATCAGCAAGTTAAGTCCACGAGGTCGTGGTTGGTATCTTCAGTGCTGTGAAGACCAAACTGGAATCTTCACGTTCTGTGACCTGTCTTCATATGGACATGGCTGCATGGGCATGTACAAACAGGGAGAAGGACTCAGTGACCCAGATGGTCCTTCCAAGCCAGAGACAGAACTAACCCAAAGTGCCAGTGGTACCAACTGAAAAACACCTGGCTGCAAAAAAGATCTCCCTTTGTAAC